AATTTGCTACATTTTACACTGAAATCGAATTGAAAACAACTAGGGATACAGCTACCTGAAAATACAAGGAGAACTTCGATGTTTCGAGCGAAGCTTCGATATGTACTGTTAGTGTTTGTATACATCGTACTTGACCTTTGCTGATAAATATAATCTCCTCAATAATAAGTATTATACATTTTTATGCTTTAAAATTTACATTTACAACTCTCCTGTTAGAATTTATGGCATACGTAGTGTTAGGTATGACAGTATATAAAAGGTCAAGTACGATGTATACAAACACTAACAGCACAAGTCGAAGCGTCTTCGCTCGAAACGTTGAAGTTCTCCTTATATTTTTCAGGTAGTGTATCCCTATCAATCCGCAGCTTTCGCACATATTTCCTCCAGAATTTCTAGTTGTCTTCAATCGATTTCAGTGTAAAAAGTATCAAATTTTCGACGAGAAATTCCAAATACTTTGTTTATATAGAACTCACGTTGGAAATCCAACGTACTATCTGCCGTTAGCCAATCACAGGCCTGAATCAATTCGATTTCTCCAGAGCTATGCCCACCCTTAACCTGCGAACGGGCATGCTCGGGGAACGAGATTGTAGAAACGCAGGCTTCTGATTGGCTTACACTCGTTGACAAAATTACTAAAAATAGCAAATGTAAACAACAGCATTTTGAAGTTTATTCATTTTAATATTATAAGACTATCGAACAAAAATAAAAATAGAAATGGAAACTAAAAGCAATATAGCAAAGCATCACGGCAAAAACGTGTATCATATAAAATGACTTGAATCTATCGCTTAAATCCAACACACAAAACTATTCTGAAGTTCGTCTTCGGATTGACATCAAACTATAGTGTAGTACATTTTGAGGTCGTCGTATTGCAGACGTTATACTGACATATACTAGAGATGACTTCACGGATTATTCTCGTTAGTGAGCAAGCGAAGGCATACAAAAGATACCCAAATATGTACGAATATAAATTATATTGTTGATCCTCGCTGGCATGTCATTTAGATAAATATATATCGTGCGAATGTCGTAAGTCGTACATTATAAAACGTTGTGCTATTTACTGTATAAACTGCTGACAATTTTGTCGTCGAACGGCCTCCACTATTGGCACACTCGTGATTTCGAAGAAATTAATAAATACATGCTCATTTAGACAACAGTTTATAAAATTTTAGACGTATTCGGTATTCCAAATCCCAATCTATCTGACCGTATTTTAATTGCTTCAAATATTCAGAACATTGTTCTTTCAGTCACACATAGACACATAGTACAAGTATTATTTACATTCATGCCAATGGTAGTATTTTATTTGGCTGTCTTTATAGGGATGATTGAATATAACGCATGGTTCCGTGCAGGCTCACCTTTCTCCCAGTGAGCCTGTTCGCAGGCTAGGGGCATGCCCTCCCAGGAAATTTTTTAAATGTGGGTCTCTGAAATAGCATTTCCTGCATTCTAAGAACACATTTTTTTAAAAATTTCAGCTTTTCAAAACAAAGTTCTAATGGTGAAATTTGTAATAAATTGCATGCTAAACATTCAAACACAACATAAGTTTAATTATGCTCACCAACAAATTTTGTTTTTTAATTAAACGTCTTTTCAATGTTAAACTCGTTTACTCAATACAGGTCCTAGGACCCTGGCTTTGGGGCAATAGAACCTTTTTTTTCTACAGTGGTGGGGCAGAGGAAGGGGCCCAGTGGGGCAAATGCCCCACCACTCCATGGTATTAAAAAATGCCTTGTTTGTATCTGCGAAGCAGATATATATGCTTTCGCAAACGTACCGTACCGTGTGTTAACACATAGCCATTCAGCGACGAGCTTATATAATTGAGCCAATTCATGATAATTTAAGCCAGTCAATGATTAGTTTACATCGATTGTTTACATCGTGCCCGCATCTAAGCTGCGAACGGGCTCGTTCCGCCTCGTGTAATTCGTGTTATTCTTTGCCATTTTCACATTTTGGCTCCAAAAATATGTTGATTTTGTCTTGTTTTCACCATTCTACTTGCGATATTTATGTTCCAAAGTTATCTATCAACATGGAAACTTATCCTCATCTAGTAAGTAGTCAAATACCACATATTTTCATATATACATTTATTTATACAGTAAAACAATCCTTGTGTATAATAATATTTTAAACGGTCAAAACATAGCAGGCAATATATTTGCCAATGAACAATATTACAGGAAACTAATGTTCTCAGGAGATATTGAATTAAATCTTGGTTCTGTATTTCCGTAACTGTTCAAAACAACAGTCCAACTAAGCTGTCGTCAAATGTAGTGTTAGAACAAAGGTTAGATGTTATTACTTTACATTTACAGTAATAGTTAAAATATTTATACATTTTGGTTTTACATGTATTAAATACACATTAGAGTTTATAATTAAACAAAATTTTTACAAACATTTTCAATTCATTTTCAAAACATTTTCATAATTTCATTGTCATTTTGCTTTCTAACATAAATGTTTTTGCTTAGAGATTAATACAAGAATGATGAATAAATGTACTTGATATTGGATGGATAATTTTGTCAGAATAACAGCCACTTGCAAGGCAATCTTATCTAAATTCATTAGTATGGAAAATAACTTAACAGCTACAATAATCATATATTATATGGATGGATCAGATCAATGGCACACAATATATGTACAAAACTAAACTTGTGATACCTTCTATACTCAAATCGATATGCTGTCTTAAACTGAACAGTGTCGTATATCATTAACTGTGTACAGGATTGGAATTGAATTATATAGTACACTTATGACCTTCAAAACATTCTCTACGATTCAGTGTTCTTCGACTATGATTGACTCATTGCTACAGTAATGCATGTTCCTCCACTCGAATAGATTGTGTATGTTACCCAATAGTTAACGTTGCCAAGTGTAAACAACAACTGACAGAACCTTTGCTTCATATGACTACAATAAAGTTTTGAAAATTTGATATGTATGGGGATTGACAAGTGACAGTTTACTAAATAGCCTGCATGCGCCGGCTGTATAGACACTTTGAATATTGTTTGCATGAAATTTTTATTCCTGACTGCATAATTATCCATTACAATCATAATCACATTATAAAAACAGCCCTGTTAGATGTGTATTATGTTTGACTTTAAAATCTTATTTGCTATTATATTATAATAAGTGATGAAACATTTCAATTGTCCCATGTCATCTTCATTATTCAGTTCCTTTCAAGAAAATACAAAATGTGAATCAAGTTTTTTCGCAGATACATGTACGCGTCGCGTACCTATTTTTTGTAATCACAGTGCAATTTTCTGTAATCACAGTGCAAAAATCTGTAACAAACTGATCTGATTGGTGGAAAAACATTGTGATGATAAAATAAACCAATCAGTTTAAAGCAGTTTAGTTTAAAGAAGTAACGGTCACAGATTGCTTCAAAACAAAACATAAAGTAAAAGTTGACTTCGCGTGGAAAATATGGCTTTTATCTTTATTTTTAAATGGAAAAGCTTTCACCTTAAACAAGGCTAACAAAACTTACACTGTTGAGTGGAATTTTCAAGCTGTTAGCGTTGTATAATGTGACATAACAAAGCCAGGAAAACTTTGCCAGTGGAATGTTCGCTATATAAAACGTGAGTTAAAACTACAATTGTCTCGAACATTTTTATCTAAATTATTAATAAGTAATAGCATCGTTTCTCGTGAAATTTGGATAAATATTCACTCGTGAGTTTTTCAAAGACCTCAAATAGCACTCGTCCTTCGTACTCGTGCTATTTTGAGGTCTTTGAAAAACTCATTCGTGCATGTTATATCCAAATTGCACTCGAAACCATGCTATTGCCCATACTATACGCATAACTGTTCCCGTTATGCTCTGCACGCTTAGAGTTTAGGTTTAAGGTTTAGAGTTTAAGGTTTTTCGAAGGAAAACCTTTTTTGAATTAGCTGTACATGGTTTGAAATATTTCATCATTTTTAATCTTTGACGAGACTATACTACCTTATACTAGTTTTTACCAGACTATACTAATATTTTACTCCCTTGCATAATGCCATATATTATTATTAGTTTAATTTACACATCTCGAGAACAAAAAAGATAAGCTAGAAAAGTTGTCCAGTGAAGTTAGAGTGAACTTATTTTACAGTTTTACATGCTCTTCCTGCTTAAAACGCTGACTTGAATTTCGTTGCCATTGCAGTAAACTCTCCTGCATTTCATGGCCATGGGCAAATATCACAGAAGACAAGACATTGTATAGAGGCAATTACGCCAACATTGAGGCAATTACATTGAGGCAATTACGCCAAAGCTAAATAAAGATTTAAAGAGTTTCGAAATATTTTGATTTGCCGTAATTTAGAGATAGAAAGATAGTCACGTTTTCAAGCATTTTGTGGGGATTTTTTTCAATAATTAATGTTGTATTGGTATCGCTATATACCCACGTATTTCAACGCGCATGCAAACATAATTACACAAAGAAAACGATAACGTACTTAAACAATGTATAAACTTTTATTTTTTTTCAAATATCGTCGAATTATTGAAGCCTTTTGTGCAATAAAACACTGTGGTGTATCAAAACCAAAAACCAAAACGTTGTCGTCCTATCTACCGCGGGCTCGCTCCTTATCTCCGTCAGTACTTTATGTAAGTCTGTTATCGTATCGACAGTTCTAATAACGTCGAAGTCTGAAGTCATACCAACTCACCGGGAGGATGGGTCGACACGATACCGCTTCTAACAAAATAACATGATGTAAAATACGTGTCCGTAATAATCCTAGTTCTTTGTTTCCGTTTTTCAAACATCTTTCTTGTCTCCGTCTTATGTTTCCACGGGTACGAGTAGTGCCAAACGCTGAACGCTTCGAGAAACAGTAACAGCTTCACTGATTCCATAGTCTTGCCGACGGTTTCCAACACAAAAGTTCTTGTACGTTACCAGAACTCGACGGACTTATCCATCCTGATCAGGAAAGACTTCTTTAACAACTCCGAAATGGTATTCTCCCCGCATCACATTCTTGTCCGCGATCATAACGACGTCACCGGGACGTAAATTTCTTGTGTTGACATGCCATTTACGACGGACAACTAGAGAGAGGGCATATAGTTGTATCCACTTTTCCCAGAAATCTTCTACGGCTGTTTGCACCAGGCTGTATCTCGTCTTCGGACTCTGGCTGTACGTGAAAGGTTGCCTACCTCGAGGATTATTGACTGTCGAGCGTCCTAACAGGCGACTATTCGGAGTAAACACGTTTAGATCAGAATCGAGGGAAGGCAATGTTCCAATTGACCTCTCGTTGAGTAGATTCGCAGCTTCAGGGCACACCGTCAGGAACTCGGGCACCGTAAGACGACGTTTACCAACCGCAAAGACAATTGCTCTCTTGTCTGCTTTCACAAGAGACTCCACTGCTCCTTGATACCAAGGACTATCTGATGATCCAAATTGCCACGTTAGACCATTTTGTAGACCACTCTTGTGTAACTCGCTTCGATCGATCTTTTCCCAAGCTTCTTTAAGCTCTCTTTCTGCTCCGATTAACTGTGAACCAGGATCACTGTAGATGAATTCAGGCCATCCGCGGATACGTGCAAATCGGCTGAGAGCCAGGAGAAAGAAGCTTGTCTCGTAACCGTAAACTGCTTCAATATGAACCGCTCGGGACACCAAGTCAGTAAAAATGACCCCATACGCTTTTCCACTGGTACGTTTCTGGACTTCACCGCGAACAACATATGGACCAAATAAATCCACCATGGTGTAGGTGAACGGGGGTGCTGGTTTGAGCCGTGCTTCTGGCAACCGTCCCATATCTTGTTCTCCCAATATTGCATCACGAAGCTTGCATAACTAACACTTGCTTTTGACGGTCTGTGCGATCTTGCTTCCTTGTGCGATCCAGTACTTCTGTCTAAAACGAGCCAAAGTGGAATCCCGTCCTCTATGCACGCGTTGCTTATGAGCACGTTCCATGAACAATCGCGTGACTGGGTGGTGGGTTGGGAGCAACTTTTGCAACGACGCATCAGGGGTCATGGGATTGTTATTTTTCAAACGTTGCCCGACCACGTAATAACCATGCTCATCCTTTCCGGGATTCAAAGACGCGTAACGACTGCCCTTCTGATCCATTTTCTCAATTTCATCATTTTGCTCTTTCTGTACATCTTTCACCACCAGAACATCAGCATCTTTGAGCAGTTGAGACGTAATGTGTAAGGTGCTTCCTTCACGGAATGACTTGTGTCTGGCCATGCTTAGAATTCTTGCTAACATCCATATGATCCTGTCTACGTTACTTGACTTCTTGTAATCGATATCCGGGATCTCGGAAACAGCTGTCGCATTGTAACGGATTTTCTTTTCTCCGGGAAGAGCTTCGTTCTTTTGCAGTCCAAACTTTAAACCCCACGACTCGATGGGTTGATACAGGATAGGAGGTCCATTCCACCATTCAGAATCTTCAGCCAATTCATCCGGATTACGACCACGCGTAAGCCAATCTGTCGTATTATCTCACCAGACATCCAAGCCCAGCAGGAGAGATCACCGTTGGTAGCAGCTTGGATTGCGCAAATTCTAACTCCTTCGTACACCTTGAAGCGAGTGCTGGTTTTATTGATCATGCTCAGGACTGTTTCGGAATCGACCAATTGCAAGACCCTTTCGAAATAAAATCGCATCTCCAACTCAATCACTTTCCTTCCTCGTTTCGACAACACTGCAGCATTCAACTCAATTTACGGCGTGGACAGTTTATTGAGTGGAGCAATTCTGCATTTCGCCATGATCAATGACACCACTATTCTCCTTTTAGCAAGGACCATCTGATATACGCAGCATACCCGTACGCCAGATCACTTCCATCGCTAAGGATGATATATAAGCCATTGGCGACCGACGGCATCTTTGGGTCGTAAGCAACGTCATGAAGAATGGAATCCATTTGGCTGTGATGTCAGCTGGGAGCGGAGTATCCCAGCCAAGCTTCCGTGACCATACCTTACGTAAGTATACTTTCGCACGTAATGTGAAAGGACATACAAGACCTAGGGGATCGTTGATCTTCATCACCTGCTCTAGTACAATTCGCTTCGTCAGGATCTCGGGCAACGCTTTTGGGAGGTCGTCTGCATTCAGATTTGGGTCAGTGCGCACTCCATGCTTCTTTTTGCTGAAGTTTAACACGATTTCGTACAATATGGAATCACTTCGAGGATCCCATCCAAAACCAAGAACTCGCAAATTGGACTCGGTTCCTTTTAGCATGTTCAGGAGTTTTCCAGACTCCTCGGTATTGACTCCACGAGCCGTCTTTCGAGGACTTTCTTCTCCACTCAGCTGCCAGCATTTCACTGAGAACCCGCCTTTCGCAAGCATATTCTCTGCTTCTTCTGCGACTTTGAAGGCGCAACTTACGGTCGTATGCGAGTCAATCAGATCGTCCACATAGCTCGATTTCGTTAACAACCCTGCTGCTTCAGGGCTGTCCTCTTTGAATCGGTCAGCCGTCTTGTAGATTGCTCCCGTACTTATGGCTGGCGCAGGCGTGTCTCCCATATCGACTCGTTCCATCATGTACACATCGGGAGGTCGGTCAAGTTCAAGACCTCTCCAGAGAAATCGATGACAATGTTTTTCCAATTCTTTCAGGTAGACTGAATTGAACATCCTTCCTAATGTCACCTACCAAAGCCACAGCTTCTTCTCGCCAACGCAACAGGATTCCGATCAGGTTATTCATATAACAATCAGGTCCTTTTGCTAGACATGAATTTAGAGACACTCCTTTGTAGACTTGACTGGAGTTGAACGCGATGCGAACAGGCGTCGAATTTGACTTGGGGTTGAGCACAGCCAAGTGAGATATGTAGAAAATAGGACCTTTCCACTGTTGGATTTCCAAGGACGTGAGAGGACGTGCGACTTTGCGATGAACCATATCATTCATTTGCTCTTTGTACGTATTTGCCCAAAGTTCATCCTTTTGAAGAGTACGCTCTGTGTTCTCCAAGGTTACTAAGGCGACGCAATTTTCCCTTTCGTAAACGGTCGTTACCATCCGGAACAGGCGTTACCATCCCGAGTCTTATAGAATTCTGGGTAAGCAGAGCAAAATTCCTCGTTGTCCCATGCTGTCCCGCTTCTTTGTCTGTTGCCCTTGCATGTTAAATATGGCGGACATGCTTGCTGGTTTTGACGAGTTAATAAATTCTGCTATTAGCGAATGTGATATCGATTCTCAGAGTATTCCATTGTTAAATGTTGAAAAAGAACGCATAGAAGCTAATCTTCTAGAGAAGTTGCCAGAGGATTACTGTTATAAGTTCAATCTTTCAGTTATTAATGAACAGAAATCGTCCTTCCAAACTGAAGACATAACTACCGAGAATGTTCATCCCTGGTTAATCGAATTTCAAACCATCAATTCCATCACTCTGAAAGTAAAAACAAAGAAAAAGCCAACAACAGGATATCTTATCCAGACTTATTACCGGTGTCAACACAACACTAGACGATGGAGCCCAAACAAAGATCCTCAGAGAAAACTACAGACAAATCCAGCAGCCAGAGTGAAAAATACGAACTGTCCTTTCCAGTTGATTATAAAGATAAATACAAATGGCATTTGTTTTGTAGACATTGAGTGGGCACATAATCACAACACAGTGAATCTTGAGGCTTCGAACTTTAAAAACATTTCATCCTGCACTATTGAAAAAGTAAGGAAATTGTATGAAGATGGAAATACACCATCCATGGCCAGACAGATCTTTCTTAAAAATCTCAAAAAATCCTGCAACGATGAGATAACCTATCATGTTATGAAAGCAGATAGATCTGTCACACCTAGAAGAAGGGATTTCAACTACCTATATAGTCAGTACACAAAGGATGAGTTTGGTGGCAAGAATGGAGAGATGTTTCAAAGGCTGGAAGAGAAAATGGAGGAATATCAGCAAAACAATCCAGGTATGTGCTAACTTATAAAGCTATGTTTACATGTTGCAATTTGTCAAGCTGATTTCAGGTGCACATTCATGATATCTGGCAAATATAGTCATGAAATGATTAACTGAAAATATTTTCCAGTAGCATTTGGAAAAATCTAAAATCAGCCCAACAAATCGCAGTGTGCAATGCATGACAATGACAAATTAACCTTTACAAGATAATTTAAAAGCAAGGATGAATTTTGAGATTTTTCAGCAAAATCTCAAAATTCATCCTTGCTTTTAAATTATCTTGTAAAGGTTAATTTGTCATTGTCATGTCCATTTCATGTGCAAAATTTCAGGGGGGTGCAAGTTGAAGGTACAGAAAAATGCATTGACTATCGAGTATTGAAGCTCCTTAGCCTAGCTTTTAATTTGCGAAATTAGACGAAATGAGGCAAATCAATCCATATTTTCTACAGTTATACTTCATTGAAAGCATACTTATCTAACAAACTGCAGACTATCTAATAATAACAAATTTTCATTACTTTCATTCATACAATTACAATCAGCAAGCTGCATAATTTTCTTGGGGGATGCAAATTTCTTTCATGGGGGTGGGGTGGGGGTGCAAGTAATTTCTGGGGGAGTATGCATATCCCCCGCGTCCCCAGAAAGTCCATCTATGCTTAAAGTATAAAATGTGTAGAGCTTATTAAAACATGATAAGAATGTCATATTAATATTTTTCTAGATGCATCACTAAAGTATCAGGTGTACTGTGGTGATGAAATGCCCCTTATTATCAGTGTTGTCACACCTTTAATGAAGCGAGTTCACAAGGAAGTGCCTCAGTGTGGCGAGCTTGTATTTGTTGATGCCACCTCAAATACAGATGAGCATAACCTGAAAGTTTTCTTGTTGTGTACACATAATGTATCTGGTGCACTACCCTGTGGCCTTGTCATAACAAGCGACGAAAAAGAAAGCACGGTGAAGCAAGCGTTTCAGATGTTAAGTGATTGCCTTCCTGAGTATGCTTTTAATGGTCGTGGTCCCACTACAGGTCCTGAGGTTATTCTTACAGACAACTGCCTGGAAGAACGTAATGCCTTGAAGAGTGTATGGCCAACTGCAACACTCCTGTTATGCATTTTCCATGTTTTGCAGCAAGTGTGGAGGTGGATTGTTGAAAAAGACCACCTTGTCAACCAGCATGATCGACCTGAAGTCTTCAGCCTTTTCAAAAAGGCTTTGTATGCAACGACTGAAGAGAGTTTTGATGATTGTTATGAAGATCTTTTGAGTGATGATGCATGTAGCAAGTATCCCAACCTTTTACAGTACTACAGAAACCTTTATGTGATCAAGAAGGACTTTGCCCTTTGCTTCCGATCTAGTATGCGTGTCCGAGGAAATCAAACTAACAACTTCGTAGAAGCTCAGTTTCTGGTGTTGAAAGATATACTATTAAGAAGAGTGAAGGAATACAATGTGGTTGGATTGTTTGACAAACTGACTGCTGACCTGGAAAACCATTTCAAAGACAAGCTATTGTCTATTGCAGATGGGAGTTTTGATGGCTACTTTAGGCGCCGATTCCTTGGTAAAAACAAGCGGAAAGTAGATGGTGGACAAGGTTTTAAAATTCCAACCCAACAGGAACAGAAAACATACCTTGAGAAAGTCATTACATATGAGCATAATGTATTTGAGGTTCCCAGTTTATCAGAAGAGGATAAAAGGTACTGTTTGGAAAGCAGTTTTATCTTTTTTTACCTATGCCCCTCAAAACTTTAAACACCCTTATACTGCAGAGGGCAAAAAGTATTGCCCAGTGCTCATGTTTTTTCGGGGGGGGGCGCTGGTAGAATTTAGTGCACCCCCCTGAATCTTAACCCGTTGAACTTGTGAACAAGTTGTAACAGTGGTGGACACTAAGGGGGGTTGGGCCAATGGGGGGTGCTTGCCCCCCAATAATCTCTTAACTGTGTGAAAAAGCTGTATTAACAAGATCACAACCACAAAAGCCTGATAGGCTTATAATTAAGGTAAATTTGCATAAAATTTAGGCAAAAAATTTGAAAGAACTGATATTTGCCGCAGTAGAAGAGTGAGATATGTTGGCAACTTAAGTTCGCACTCCCAATATTTCACGAAGTGTCCGCCACTGAGTTGTAACAACCTTGTTATTAGACCAGTCTGGTTATAACAATATTGTTCCAAGCTTGTGTTGTCAATCTTGTAACATACTTGTTATATTATGGCTGCATCGATCAGACATGTTAGACAGAACAAACTTGTAGCAAGTCTGATAATGCCATCGATCTTGATATAAGTTGTTAACGGCTTGTTCCAACGACTTGCAACAAGCAGTGCAAACACAACTTGATTGCAGACTTGTTACAAGTTGTGCATTTTTACCCATGTAATTATAATAATTATATTTTTTTCAGCTATTTTGTAGATATGTCAATTGGTGTTTGCAGTTGTGTCATGGGGAGAGATGGCAGCCCTTGTAAGCATCAGTACATATTGTGGGCTTCGAATACTGCCAACTGTATCAATTTTGTCCCTGTCTCTAACCCACAGTCAAGACAAAAGCTTGCATGGATTGCAATAGGCCAAACCTTGCCCATTACCTACTATACAAATCTCCGTGCTAAAAGCAACAATGCTCACAGCATTGAAGCTGAAGATCAATCACATCAAGTTAATAGTTTGGAACAACCAGACTGCCAAGAAATAAGCATGGATGATTCCATTTTGGTGGATACTGAAGAGAGATTGGAACAAGAGCATATACAAGAAGGTATTACAGCAGTAAATAGAGCCTGTGAGTCATTGGTTGAGAAACTGAAGTCTACAGGTGACAAGAATTTGTCCAAAGGTATGAAACAATTCTCAGCCCGTTTGATGAAGTTAAGCAGTGGAATGCCTGGGAGCCTAGTATCTGCACTTTTCAACTTTGGCACTGATGAATTGAGAAGTACCAGAACTGGCAAAAAGATTAAAATCCAGCCTGGCAGAAAACGAAAGTCAAATAATGGTAGCCGTCAAGC